CCCTGTCCGAATTTCGACACTTTCTTCCTTTCAGGTTTTATCTTTCCTGCAGACCGATTGATCAGAAATATAACCATTACCATAATCATCGATATGCATCCATTCGCCAGGGAAACCTTGGATGCTTTCCTCTAGAATGGAAGAAGCTAGGAGCTGAAGAATTCGGCAATGTCGTTTTCGAAGTGGTTTGCATTCAGTGATTTTTTTCTCATGCTACTCTACTGTTTCAAGGCAATGCGAGGGGATAGTCCGAGATAGCAATGCCACTGTTATACGATGGATATGGCATCCTTCAAAACAGTGGCAACAAAGTCCAGCTACTTTCCTTCAGAACGTCTATTCGGAGAAAAGAGCTTTTGAGACAATTTAGGACAGTTCTCTCCCACAACTGCGGCCGATACGCCCGGAAGTTTGGCCTCCGATTTGGCATTCGCAACCTCTTGTCTGCATACAGCAAAAAGAAATTAATGACAAACTTCGGGACCCACCCAATCTAATAAATCAGAACAATGTCCTCCTAACATAGAATTTGGGTCTTGTTGAGCTGGTGAGTCCTGGCAATACCCATCTGGTGTGCCGCGCGTTGTTGTCGCAGTGAACTCGCTACTTGTCACATGATGATCAGCTAAGGATGGTCGCGTTTAAGGCAGTCAGAGAAGGCTTTTGCAGGGTCAGACGTGCGTCTCGGTCATGGTCGTTCGGTGCACATGGTTTCCACCAAGTCTTCATTCTGCTGCCACCCGCTTCACCCTGATGGCATCTGCTGGTGCATCGGCTACGCCCACGTTTTCTGCAATAATACCCTGGTTGAAGCGCCTGTATGCACTTCCAATCCATGGCGCAAGGGGTCCTCATTGAAAGTGAGTGGAGGCTTAGGGTGAGGCAGATTTTACAGTTTGTATTGTCTTTGTCATTACGACCAAACCGGCCAAACACATTACTATCCTCTCTATTGTCCTCCTTGCAACAGCGTCTATTTGAGGATGTTTAAGCATCGTTCGTTATTTTCATTGATGTATTGTCGACTGCGTTGTCACCGATGGGGTGCTTTCTTATTCCGAAACGTCATGGCAACCGCCTTAGATTCATGTTTCTGGACATAACCAACATTTTTCGCAATGACACAAATTCGACGAGAGACGACGATTTGAAGAGATTCGAATTCAATCAAAAACCGGACAGGGATTATGGGACAACCCAACATGTATGTATTGTATGTATATATGTACACTGGTGTGCAAAACTTAAGGACGGAAGTAACTTTCACATGATATCTCACTGCTAGTTAACCTAGGTGGACCAAATTTGGCACATATATAGAAGTAAATGTTGCGGTACAGTGCAGAGAGTTACTAACAGAAAAGCGCAAGGGGCGATTGGAAAAGACATTTTTCTTCAAATACCCTGTCTGAAGCGGTCGATGGGTGAGGCTACTCCAACTCATGGTAGACATTCAAAAGAGAGGAGCTGGTTCTTGATGGGGTGTATGAACACTACGGACTGCAAAGCATGCTCTGCCACGTGCTCCAATACTGGCCACAAGGTTGGTTAAGAGTTCTTGTGAGCGATCCATTCCTTGAAGACCGCGATTGACAACTGCTGGACAGTTGTTGGCGCATGGGGATGCGCTACAATAGCTCTCCTGAATGCACGCCACACGTGCTCCATAGGATTTGACTGGGGGAAGCGGGCAGGCTTCACCAATCGCCGAAAATCCTCGCTTTCAAGAGTTTTCCACCTAGGCTGCTCGATGCTCTCGCACCTTGTCCTCCATACGATTGAAGTTGAGGTCAAAGGCACCCTTGAAAAGATGCACATAAGTGAGGAGTACAGCGTCACAATAACGTTGATCAGAAAATTACGCGATTTGGGGATCAGTACGCCCCGACAACTTTATGCCTCCCCACACCATATCGCATGGACTACCAAAACAATCATGTTAAACGATGGTCCTGGGTAGATTACACGTTCCTATTTCTCGCCACATGCGGGTAAGTCCAAAATCACTACTTACATTCAATTTGATCTTAACTGAGAAGAACACGCGATCATCAAATCGGTGGTCCATCGCCAATGTCCCGGCACCTAGCAAATGTTCCCGCCGATGCGCGGGTTTCGAAGGAACACCAGATACTGTTGGTCGGTCAGAGAGACCATCCCTATACGGTCACTGTGCCACTGTTCAGGCTGGGATTACGTGCCTTACAATCCTGATGTTTTTGCAACTGCAGCCTGTGACTGACGTAGGTCAATTTTGCCTGTTGCAAAACGTAGCAATCACCTGCTGTTGCGGTTGATCGTGATCCACCACCTACTCTTCTGGGGCAGCAGTGGCTGCAGTCCATATTGCTCCTTATGCGCACAAAACAATGGTGTGAGCAACATCAAACTCCTGGACTACACGTTATCGTTACAAATTTCCCTTGCTCCAGTTTCCCGTCCTTGCATGAAGTCATCCTAGTGTTGTCTTTGAGACATGCTGTAATCAAGGAACACCACTACATTCCACAGTTACTTCTCCCTGATCAGTACACTCCCTCTTGTCCTGCCCACCAACCCCTCGTTCTGCGCTACCGCTGCCTGTTGCTACAGATTGAAGCCGGCCGCAGGAAATATGAGGCCCACTTTGGTGCCCATGACTGTAAGCTTCTAGCATTATGCGTACAGTTTCATCCAATTCCATCGGATTGTTAATAAGTTATGTCAATTTATCCATACCGTCCTTAAGTTTTGCACACCAGTGTATGTAGTAGGAAGAACAGAAACAATTAAAGGAACAGTTAATAAACTGTATGTAGTAGGAAGAACAGAAACAAATAAAGGAAAAATTAATCAATATCAATAACTAATTTTTCACTTTCAAATGGGTCGATTAATATCATGAGCGCTCCCATTCATATCTTAAGTAGTTGCAAACATGGCATACCGGCAATTGCCGGTGTTCCATTGTGCTTTATATTTACCAGATTAGTCCCCCGTCAACCGCCGGGACCTTCCTTTCCTGCGCAAGCTTTCTATCCTCCGCTATGGTCCCTTCCTCCTGTGACACCAACACCTCCTGGAAGTGACGCGTATGCAACACAATGGTGTTTCATACAGTAGAAGGGACACAATCATGATATGACGGTAGATTTTTCGCTTCCCTTCCTCATCCTCCCTTCCTCTCTCCACTGCCCTCCAGCTGCCACTGCAGCACCATGTGGAATGAACGGAAGTGTGCTAAGCAGGTGTTTATATAGCCCTAAGAGTGTTATCACAACTATCCTGCTACAAAACATTGATATCTCAAATCCTGTAAGCTACCCGATTTGTTAGCGGTTTGTTTATCCCATGAGCTTCCTTCTCACTCACTTCATTTTGCGGACGGACACACATACATACATACACACACACGCACACACACACACACACACACATACAGATACACAAACCGACACACAAAGTTAGCGCTTTATATAATAGAAGGATATTCCTTAGCCTAAGTTGTGTCAACATTCCTCCTTCTTTCATGACGCGCAAACCAGAGGCCTTTGGCGTATCGGCTGGCGACCGTAATGCTGCAATAGTTGGGAGGAGATGTAGTCCCGACGGGACGGACCACTTCAGACTCGGGTCCTGTAGGAACCGTCCGCAACCAGGGGTGCTCACCGCAGAACTAAGCCTTAAAGAGAGGACGGGTCCGTTCCCTCTCCAAGGCTTAGTCCTGGGGTGAGCAAACCAGCCCTTCTGGCGGAGCTGCTGGACCAGCTGCACCACTTGCGTCAGTACTCTCCTATCGTACCAACCGAGTTGAAGTAAACCGTCGACCGTAATTCGTATGTTCGGGGGGGGGCCACTCCCATCCCCTCACAACACCGGCATACGTCCGCCGAAACGCCAATAAGGGCTGGTTGCTGACCTCCCTTCCCCCCCCCCCATCCCGAACTGGACTATTCACCAGACCAGGGGATAGCATTATTAAGGACAGCCGACTGGTTGCATGTCTAAGTGGAAGAATAAGAATTGTTAGAATTAAGCAATCATATCATGAGCAATTTAACATTTTAGAAAATTAGTAGATTTTGAGAACTTCGTGTTAAATCTCGAAATATTTACAAAAACTATTGATGTTCGACCCTGATTCCATGATCGGGAGCGAGTCTTGTTCATAAAAATCAACCCGGAATTCAGAACTAGGCTGGTTCTATACTATGGAATTTTAGCGTAATAGTCAAGAAACATTTCCAACTGATCTCAAATATTAATAGGTCTTACAGCCCAGAAGCTTTTAGTAGTCAATAACTTGTTCTTCAATTGAAAACAGGACTAGAGTAGGCCCGAAGTTTTTGCTACTGCAGTCACAAATTCTTTGAGAATTGACGTAGACGTTATAGTGAGTTAAACAGCCCGAGGCACTCTTGAAGACCGAGTCGGCCAAGGTCCCTACATTTCTCTGCTCGCTTAGATGAGCACAGACTCGTCCGAGAAAACAAAGCATAACTCAAAAATCGATTGATGCTTTACTGAACGAACAGAACAATGAAGGTGCCACATACTCAAATGTCTTGAGGTCTGGGCTTTACACATCTACCACACGGGAAGGAAAGTCAACTGCAGCCATCTAAGGTTTTTATGATGACGGAAAATTTTAGATCCCCAGCCGTGCTCTCTCCAGTGACCACACATTGTGCCATTGCAGAATTAGCAACACAGTGGCATGAGTTACATCTGAAGCGTCAAAAGACACACAAGCTATAGATTTTTGAGGCCGTTGCCACTTGTGCAACTTTGTCTGCAATGATGGCAGGGTCGGCCTTGGAAAATCGAGTATAATTAATTCCCAGATATACAACTTTCTTTCAGGTAACTGCTGGCTGGTTGTGTAACAAAATGAAGTGAACAGATTTATTAATCGAACAGCAGACAGCAGTTCGTGAGTAACACGGGAAATAATGACGATGGTTAAACGTTCTTATGAAATTCGTCTGCGAGCACATTAGTCGCGATGCTGCGGATTTCTGCTATTCATTTTTGAATACGTACACACCAGGCTTGGCGATCACGAAGTTCAGCACACCGCGACCATTCGACAAACTGCCCAACGATTTCTTGTCACCAAACTCGATCCGGATCGCATTCTGGAAGTGGTACCCAACACTCGCAGGCATTCAATGTGTGTAGTTTTGTCCGTGAAAATTTGCTCTACGATCTTCTTTTAGACCGGTACACTCATGCTGCTAACAAAAGCCCAAGGATAATAAAATACGTTTTTTCACCACTACCCTGGTCTTTGTAAAAGAAAGCAGGCAACCGTTCGAAAGGCAGCCGATGTTCCTTGGCTCAATAGAAACTGAGCAAGTCAGGGCCATATCAGGTGCCATTGCACCAACCCTTTATGTTTCTTCTGAACAGTGGATTTCTACGACTCCTGTCTATTTCTGAACAACTCCACTCAACTCTGTTGCCACCTGACCGTCCACCGTACCTCTCCAGCTTGACAAAAGCCCTCCTCATCGGAAAGGAACACTGAGAGCTTGAGTTCCTTACAATTAGGAAAAGTATTTCTATTCGAAAGAGCAAGTCTACAATTAAAGCTCATCCCGTTATCAGACAAACGATCCTTTTCCCATCATGAAATTCTCTACCCAAGCATCGTTTTGAAAAGCGTTGTAATTATAGAGTTAACAAAGTATACTGCGATAGGTGACTGTCCGCGAGGGAAATCGATCTGGCTAAATTTTGCGAATGCCGAGGTGATAACTATAGAAGGCTTGGATTGGCGCAGTGTTGCATTGCAATGACATGATTCCTTCATCATACTCTTCGAGGATTCTTGATTTCGATGAAATTACAGATGAAGAACAACTCACCAAATCCTCTTTACCACGAATTGAGCTGGCACTAGTGTAGTACATTTTGAGTCCCTCAAGAAAACCTCTGAAACAAGAAATCACTCTGCTTTCATCGAGAAAAGTTGTTGAAAATTATTTCCACTGGATCAGCGCGTAATGCACCAATCACCCGCTGAGACGCAGCCTGTTCAGAGTGTAAGCAGAGACCCGTAGGAATATCCTCCTAGTTTGAACTCTGTTACCGCGATCTCGATTCGAACAGCATATGAGTGACACACTGGCAAGCCTATAAGGTCTTCTTCATCAGTTGATGTATGTCGGCTTCCTAGAGTGGGACACTAATGCTTTCTACGCATCGTAAGCCTGATTAGTCGAAAATGACTCCATGCAAAGAGAAGATAACCTTGATGCGTTGGAAGCCTCTAGCAGAAGCAGTACCCATCTAGAGTATCTAGAGCAACTACCACAGTGCTTATCCCGACCAATGGCTTTCGACTTCTGAAGGTTTCAGGTTGATAGTTAGTTTAACACGTTGACGACAGCAGGACACATACGACTTGTAGGCCATGACGGGCAGTGCGGGGCACATGGGTCCTGCACGCGTCTTACATTCATTTTTTCTCACACGCATGATTCCCTTTAAGTTTTTTTTTATTTGTTCGATGAGGAGAAACCCACCCAGCGCTACCAATGATGGTTGGCCCACAGAAGGCCCGTATAATGTATGCTATGTGCAGGTAGGTGTGGAAAATTTTGCTGTTTCATTGTTATTGCAGGTCTTTCAATCGAATTTCCACTACTGTACCCCTAAGTTGGCTTCCACCTACGGCAAATAGCCGGTCTAATTTTGTATCCGCCATTTTCTGTGTATTCATGATCCAAAATCCGCTTGTATGATCTGAGGCGGCCGCGCTCGCAAAATCGCGACGCTCCCACGCGGCCAAAAAGCCAAAGTGCGCGTTGTCGTCAACGTGTTAAGGCTGATATTGGTGTTTAACAAAGTCATCTTTTTTGACGCTTAAAATAGCTAAAATACCAAAGGGCTGTCTGAATTAAGCAAAGCAAGCATAACACGCGGCGTCAGCCTAGTGGTATTCATGCGAGTCGATAAATTAAAATGCTCTTTTGATGTTCAAAGTGATGTCAGTTTGAGAATATAAAAATGACTCACACTCGCTCCTTGAGAACGCGTAAGATGTAATCTACAGGGTAATCGGAAGGCAGTTCGAGTTTCCATCTTCTGTCGCACCACTCTCGACTGGAGCTGAAGATACCGGCATGTTTGGCTGCTATTTCATGATGTTTATAAAAGCGCATTCACAGCGACTTCTCTAATTCCTGCGCAATTCAGAGCGGGCAATCCCGTACGAATGCATGATTTTATCCCATCCAGCACGCGTATCTAGTAAGGCTGCCGACCCTCAGGTCCTTTGCGCTTTGTTAATATCTATTATGGGAGTTTTGTTGTGGTTTCATACGTCCTATTCAAAGACCCACTACGGATCTAATTTTGCGGCTGTTTCGCTTGCATACGGAAGTGAAGTACGATTTAGATTGTGAAGAAGAATCGCAAGAGAAACCATCGAAAACACCATAATTAGGAGCCTCCTTCCTATTGTTCCAGGGACCACGAGACGACGGAGAGACACAAGGCACGAAGAGAGAGAGAGAGAATACGCAAGAAGCACGCAGTAAGAAGGGATGCTCATAACATCCGTTGCATCGCAAGCAACACGAGAGCCGGGCAAAGCCAGTTAGCGAATACACTTAGCCGCAGTTGTGTCGCTCCCCCTTCGAGTTGTGATATAGCGCATGTATAAATCTGTAAACAGTTATTGATTACCCCTACTCATTATCAAGGAATGGATCAATTAACGATACAGGAGGCGATTTGGGGTCTAAAACGATCCAACCCTGCGCCTGGCATTACGTTCGTTTTCAAGGATTCTCAACGGTTTTAAGCTGAGCGCAAACCCACAAGTACGCAGTCGAAGAATGTGTAGTTAACATTTGATCATTTTCTCTAGAGTTCAAAAAGGTCTGAAGTTGATGAGATGAACATTATTCCGTTAAGTGCCTGGTCCTGATACAATCGATGCTGTTTGAGTGACTGAACGCCCGATAGAGTGGTATTCACATCCTCGTTTCATCGAACTTTTATATTTTTTGATAAGCCAAAAACTAATAATCAGATCAACTGGTTTTCAGCCTAACCTAAGTCTGCTTCACAACTGTGAAAGTAATGATGTTCATATACTCCTTGACGAGGTAAGGATCTGGACCGTCGTCTGACGCTTTTCCTTACCTCTAACCCTCTAGGTCTTTCAATCCCACTTCGATAGCTGAGGATGGATGAGGAATTGACTCAAAATTCAGATACAGATTTCAGCCTCTCGTCATGAGAAACGAACAGATAGCTCACCCTTTTCCAGTATAAGTATTCGAACTTGCAATAACTCAGTGGGAGCCGTTTTTCCGGAGGTGTCGAGACGCGATGTAAAAAAAAGAACATTTTTCAATGTAGGGAAACCGAGCATATAATGAAACAACCCATATCGCTCATTGATGTCTTCAGAGCTAAAGATGTCGACGATTGCCTCACGCCAACAAATGGTGTGCCCTGAGCTTGAGCCTCACGCCTGCAAGAAAACTTTGAGACCAAAGAAGAACTCGTGCGGACTTAGTACAATAGCCTTTCTGGGCAGTTACATTTCTAACTAATACGGCAGAGGATATCTTCTCAGCTTCATTCTTCTTATAAGGAGTGGGTCAGGACAGGGATGCGACAACACGGTGTCGAAAGTGGCGCAGCGAGCAGCCGATCTACTTGCACTGACGCGGATCTGCTGCAGTAGGAGCTCCATGACGCAGCAAGTAGTAATGTCCGCTCGATCTAGTTAATGCTCGCCGTACAATTCAACGTCCTAACCCACACCCTATATGACAACTTCAAATTCGATCCACGCCTTTCTGTATAGCCGCCTGTATGAATTACCTATATTTATCCTAGCGGTACTCTATTGATGAGAGTTTGACGGACACACATTGGCACGCAACAGCCCGGCGACCCTGGAAAATCCACACTCTGAACGGGTTCTTCATTTCACGCATAAAACCTGAGCATTACCGTCGACGTTTGGGACACTGATTTCGTTAAACTGGCACGATTTGCAGATTTTATGTCCACAGTCAGGATATTCCATCATTTTCGTGTAGTCAACAATTCCATGACAAGGTCCGTCACATATCAACATTCCATGTAATGAATCTGAAGATATCCTGTCTGTTTTGATGGGAAAGAATTACATAGAACTAAATATAAAGGACGTACTACTGGTATTTGCATGATGAGTAACAGAATTGTTGATACGGTTCCATAACTCTTGAGCTTCGGGGGACTTGTCGAGCCAGCGTACATTGAGCGTGATCAGTTGCCTAAAATTTGCTTCACCCAGAAAGAATGATGGAACAGTGAGTCACCAAGTTAAGTGGAGGCATCAGAACTGGTAAACGAAGGTCAACTCTGCATTTCTGCCTCACGGACGTGACGATGCCATGCACTATGCCGGCTTGTCTACAGGCTACGGTGGGTGATATGTGTGTGACTGATAATGAATCACAATAGAGTCCTGGTGACTTAAGGTATGACAAGTTGCCGCGTCGCCACTAAACTTTGCCCCACGATGTGTGAGTGATCATTACCAGTTGTTATCTTGGAGGATTAATGCACATACAGGAAAAGAGCGGGAGGAAGGGGTAGGGGAGAGAGCTAGAGAGTATGGTAACCATGCACCTTTTGCGAAACTTAAAGCATACGAGATCATAGCTCCAACAGGCCCATTTTGCATCTAAGGCTCCCATTGTGGCTGATCAGTGCCGATCAGCGCAGAAAGTTTTCGCTAAGTGACACGATCTCAAAATCGACATCAAATCTTTCTGTGATTTAAAGTTCATGGGATCCCAGGGAAGGGGCAACCGTTAGTTTACCATGGGTAAGCAACATTTTGCAACTAATAGAGATGTTAGGATCGGATGAACTAGCTCTTCA